GTATGTCTCTATCAAGTCACCTCTTAACCTTCTTCTCTCTAACGAAATCAGCCTCAAGACCCTCAGCCTTTCCTCATAAGACCTTCCCTCCATACCAGGCAACATCCTGGTAAATCTCCTCTGCACCCTTTCCAGTGCTTCCACATCCTTCCTATAATGCGGTGACCAAAACTGTACGCAATACTCCAAGTGCAGCCGCACCAGAGTTTTGTACAGCTGCAACATGACCTCATGGCTCCGAAACTCAATCCCTCTACCAATAAAACCTAACATACTGTACGCCTTCTTAACAACGCTATCAACCTGGGTGGCAACTTTCAGTGATCTATGCACATGGACACCGAGATCTTTCTGCTCATCCACACTACCAAGAATCTTACCATTAGCCCAGTACTCTGTATTCCTGTTACTCCTTCCAAAGTGAATCACCTCACACTTTTCCACATTAAACTCCATTTGCCACCTCTCAGCCCAGCTCTGCAGCTTATCTATGTCCCTCTGTAACCTGCAACATCCTTCCGCACTATCCACAACTCCACTGGTATCATCCGCAAATTTACTAACCCATCCTTCTACGCCCTCATCCAGGTCATTTATAAAAATGACAAACAGCAATGGCCCCAAAACAGATCCTTGAGGTACACCACTAGTAACTGAACTCCAGGATGAACATTTCCCATCAACCACCACCCTCTGTCTTCTTACAGCTAGCCAATTTCTGATCCAAACCGCTAAATCACCCTCAATCCCATGCCTCCGTATTTTCTGCAATAGCCTACCATGGGGAACCTTATCAAACGCTTTACTGAAATCCAAATACACCACATCAACCGCTTTACCCTCATCCACCTGTTTGGTCACCTCCTCGAAGAACTCAATAAGGTTTGTGAGGCACGACCTACCCTTCACAAAACCATGTTGACTATCCCTAATCAAATTATTCCTTTCTAGATGATTATAAATCCTATCTCTTATAATCCTTTCCAACACTTTACCCACAACCGAAGTAAGGCTCACTGGTCTATAATTACCAGGGTTGTCTCTACTCCCCTTCTTGAACAAGGGGACAACATTTGCTAGTCTCCAGTCTTCTGGCACTATTCCTGTAGACAATGACGACATAAAGATCAAAGCCAAAGGCTCTGCAATCTCCTGCCTAGCTTTCCAAAGAATCCTAGGATAAATCCCATCCGGCCCAGGGGACTTATCTATTTTCACACCTTCCAGAATTGCTAACACCTCCTCCTTATGAACCTCAATCTCCACAGATGCTGCCTGACCTGCTGTGATCTCCAGCATCCGCAGTAATGTTCATCTCCTTTCAACTTCCCCCTCTTACCTTAAACCTATGCCCCTTAGGATTTGACATTACTATCCTGGGAAAAAGACTTTGACTATCCAGCCTATCCAAGCCTCTCATACTTTGATATACTTCTGTCAGGTCACCCCTCAGCCTCTGACACACTTGTAAAAACAATCCAAGTTTGTCCAATAATGAGATATAGAGCTGGATGAGCACAGCAGGCCAAGCAGCATCATAAAGAGCCTTCCTGCTCCTATGATGCTGCTTGCCCTGCTGTGTTCATCCAGCTCTACACCTTGTTATCTCAGATTATCCAGCATCTGCAGTTCCTACTATCTCCTAAATTAATCTAGTCCCATTTACCAGCACTTGGCCCATATCCATCTAAACTCTTCCTATTCATACAGCCATCCAGATGCCTTTTAAATGTTGTAATTGTACCAGCCTCCACCACTTCTTGCAGCAGCTCATTCCATACACACACCACACTCTGTGTGAAAAGTTGCCCCTCAGGTCCCTTTTAAATCTTACTTCTATCACTCTAAACCTATGCTGTCTGATTTTGGATTCTCCTACTGTGGGAAGAGACCTTGGCTATTCAACCTATCCATGCCCCTCATGATTTTATAAACCTCTGTAAGGTCACCCCTCAGCCTCTGCCACTCCAGGGAAAATAGCCCCAGTCTATTCAGCCTCTCCCTGTAGCTCAAACTCTCCTACCCTGGCAACATCTTTGTGAATCTTTTTTGAACTCCTTCAAGTTTCACGACATATTTCTCAAACTATATTTTCTAAGTTCATTGCTAAGACTTCCTTCATAAAAAATTACAGCAACTCCCTGATGACTGATGTGAAGCTAATTGACCTGCAGTTCCCAGACTCACATTCCCATCTTACTGGAATTGTGATGTTATATTTGCTAACTTCCAATCTGCTGTGATGTTCCAGAATCGATAGAATTTCAGGTAACCATAGCCAGAACATCCATTAACTCTACAGCTCTGTCATTCAGAACCCAAGGATTTAGATCTTGGAGATTTGTCAGATTTTAGTCCCTTGAGTTTTCTCTAATGCTTTTGCTCTACTAATATTAATTTCCTTACTCTTATTAGCTCCTGCAGGTAGATTTATGGTAGTAATTTGTGTCTTCCTGTATGAAGACAGCTAAAAATATTTGCTCAATGCTTGTGCCATAGTGGTTCAGTGATTACCACTCCTGTCTCACAGCTCCAGGCACCCTGGTTCAATTACAGCCTCAGACAACTATCTGTGTGAAGATTGTATGTTCTCCCCCTGTCTGCACAGGTCCCTTCTGGGTGCTCTGGTTTCCTCCCACAGTCCAAAGATGTGCAGATTAGGTGGATTGGCCATGCTAAATTGCCCATAGTGTCTAGGGATGTGTAGGTTGGGTGAATTAGCCATGGGAAATACATGGTTATGGGGCTAGGGTAGGGGGGGTGAGTCTTTGTGGGATGTTCTCTGAAGAATTGGTGTGGACTTTTTGGGACGAATGGCCTGTTTTCACACTGTAGAGATTCTATAGAAACAAAACCTTATTATTCGCTATAATAATTTCTCCTCGCCAACATTTTAATTTAGCTAGTCTTCCTTTTTTTATACTTGTAGATGCTCTTATAAATCTTTTAGATTCCCAGTTACATTAACACTCATATTCTATCCTTCCCCCATATCAGTTTTTTTTTGGTGGTCCTTTGCTGGTCTGTAAGGAACTCCCGTGTGCTTGCAAAAATTTAAGGCTCTCCTTTTAATCCAATACAATCCTTAACTTCTTCCTTTCTCATTCATCTTTGTCCCAAAGAAGATGAGAGGTGACCTAATAGTTTTTTTTAGGGTGGCAAGAGGGTTTGATAGAGCAGATAGAGAAAAATGTTTCTCCCATGATAATTGGATCAAAAACATGAGGTCATGTATTTAAAATCATTGACAAAAGATTTAAAAGGGGGTTTAAGGTGAAAAGGTTTTTCTTAATTGTCAGGATTTTGAGCCTATTACCTTAAAATGTAGGAAAAGCAGATTTGATAAGTACATTTAGTAGCCAGTACTTGAGTGTGGTTGAACAAAGACATTGTCTTGAAGCTTTTCATCTTGAAGTCATAGAATGACAGAATTCCTACAGTGTGGAAGCAGGCCATTCAGCCTTTTGAGTCTATTTTTAGCATGGCCAGTTGACCTAACCTGCACATCTTTGGACTGTGGGAGGAAACCAGAACACACAGGAAACCCACACAGACATGGGGAGAATATTCAAACTCCACACAGATAGGCACCCAGTGGTGGAATTAAACCCGGGTCCCTGGCACTGTGAGGCAGCAGTGCTAACCACTGAGCCACTGTACCACCCCCTTCAGGACAATTTGTAAGACATTTCTGAGTAGATGGAAAAAACACGTACACACACTGTGTGTGTTTTAACTGAACAAAATTATTTGATTCACTTTTCAGGGAATTGCCTCTACCAATCAGAATCAACCTGCTTGGTATAAAATCTAAACATAGTTGGAAGTTAACTGTCAATTATTGTCAAACTTGTGCATTCTCCATGACAGCACCTTCACCAATAGGATCCAATCAGCACTCAACTGTCATACAGTATAAATGTTGTTTTCCCTTACATTGGTATTTCTTGCAAATTATCCTGAAGAGTTCAAGGCAAAACATTTCAATAAATGTATCCTTTCTCACTCAGAGGCAAGTAATTTTACAAGCAACTTAAGAAGATGAGGGTAACAGACTAAACATGGGTCTAAACATGATGGATGCTTGAAGGAACCACCACAGGCACAATGGGCCAAATGGCCTCTTTCCTTTAAGTTTTAATGTTTCTCTGATAACTAATTGGCTTTGCCTTATTTTCAGTGTCTCAGCTCCCAGGATGTGGTGAGTCCCTCTAGCAGCACGGGACAAACCAAATTGTTGGGCCAGCTCTTCATCCTGCTTCAGTATCAGACCCTAGCTAACCGGATCAAGGTCATGGTTCGAAAGGCTGAGTCTTTGGCCAGGCTGACCCGCATGCCAGGATCACCAGGTGAGGTGTTGCAGGGAGATCTAACCGTGGGGGTTTACATTCTTACAGGTCGTTGACAGCATTCGTCATTCAACACATTTGCACGGGGCATTGTGAGCCTTCCTGAGTCCTGTACATGGAAATAGAATGGAAGTCAGAGCAATGCTTCGAGCTGTTTGGCTTTGACTTGGAACTATAACTTTTAAAATGTTGATGCTGCAAAATTAAAATCCCTTCTTTCCTTCGATGGCCAGGAGCTGTGTGATGCTGGTTTTCTTTCAATGATGTTATGGGCCAGACCAAACCCCTTTAAAATATATCAAGGAAATAGCCTAGACCCTAACTTCTATTTTGTTTACAGGCAAGTATAAGACGCTGTGTTCCAGATGTGATTTGATTGGTCAAACTACTAGGCTTTAGGCAAAACACACTTATTCTTACTTTACAGTTCAAATACAAACAAAAGAAGAATAATTGGTATAACTTTAACTCTATTGGAAAACGTACAGAATAATAGATTATTTAACAACTAAACAGTAACTGTTCCAATATAGTAATATCCCATAAACACACCCATGGCAAATGCGAATTCAGTAAAATAGATTGTCTCACATTCAATGTTTCTCCAATCCAGGAGGAAAGAACACAGCAAGAGAAAATTCTGGTAGAGAGAGGTATTGCAGTTTCCACAACCAAATTCCAAACCTCAACAACTGAAAACTAAACTCAAAACCCCTGGTTGTGTGGGAGCCTGACTCCACCCATTCATGCCTCTTCTATTGTCCGAGCTTTTAAGAAAACCCAGGACCTCTCAAGCTGTTTATTTTACTGGCTTCAAAGAGACAGCTTGGTACCTCTTTCTTAAAACCTCTCTCAAAAAAATTCCAGAACAAAATATACCTCTTAAAGCCATAATATCATCATATGAGCTTTATTATTAATGCAGTAATCTCCCCGGTATCTGGCTTGCACAGGTAATGGGGAGTGCTGGATAGTTAAATCAGCTGGAGATATATGAGTATGGGCTGGCAGAACCTGACTCGTTGCTGTCATGATGTAAATGTGCACCTTAAAACCGAGTGGCTAGGACTGCTCAGAAATACTGGGTACCTGACTATAATACATGATTCTGCCTTTATTGATGAGGGCAATCTTGAACTAGCTTTAATAAAGCATCTGATCCATTATTCCCTTCCAACAGCTAATGCAGTACAGTGCCCATTATCCAAGCATCCAGAATTATCCTTTTGGATGTCTGATACTGATTGCATGAGAGCTGTGCTTTCAGTTGCTCTGATGCAGGCGTCAGTTCCTGCAGCAAGATCATGCACGTAAGCAAACCTGTTTCTACAACAAAACGTCTGCTTAAAACCCTCCTCGGAGTGTGTGTATGTGTGTGTGCATGTGGGTGTGCGTGTATGCGTACATTTGTGTGTGTGTATGTAAGTGTGTCTGTGCGCACACGTACGTGTGTGTATGTGTGCGCGCGTACATACGCGCGTGTGTGTATTTGTATGTGTGTGTACGTATGGTGTGTGTATGTGTTTTTACATGTGTATGTGTGCATGTGTCTATGTGTGTGTATGTATGTGTGTGAAGTGAGTGTGTGTATGTATGTGTGTGAATGTGCGCGTGAGTGCGCGAATTTGTCTATGCATGTATGTATGTGTGAATGTGTGTGTGTGCGTATATGAGTGTGTGTACATGTGTATGTGTGTGTGTGTATGTGTGTACATGTGTGTGTGTCTGTATATGTTTGTATGTGTGTGTGTCTGGCACTTGGGGCCACCCATTAAGAGGCAACAAAGGTTTCAGGAGCACGGACTCATATTTGAACTCTGACCCCACTGGGAGCTGCTACTTTTCAAATGTGGGTGTAATCCAATAAGCTGTGAGGTCTAGTCATTGATATAACAGAACCTGCTAAACCATAGATGCCTCATTGGTTTTGGTGCCTACTGTTTGAATCCCAAACCTGCTCAACAACTGGCCCATCCTCAGCACCTTCCTGTTTGGGGACACAAGCAGAAAATGTTTGGCACACACTGCTCTAAAGTCGATGGCCTAGGAAGGATTGTCCTCTTCCTGACTTTGGGACAACCCTTTGTGTTTCTCGCAAAAGTAACTCCTGCATTCAAAATTCTCGCCAACTCGGATAGAGCAGCGTGGAAGTTCACAGCCTGCTTCATAAATGTGAAAAACAACTTAGTTCAGTCAAACATCCCAGGGAAGCTTCATGGGAACATTATTGAGCAAATTCTGAGCGTTAGTCAAGTAGGGCTGTCTGAAGACCAGGGATCCAAATGCTTGGTACAAGGGTTAGGTCTTAAGGAGAGGCCGCACCAGTAAAGGAAAGAGGTGGAGAGGTTCAAAGAGGTAATTCCTGAAGTTGTGGCCAAGACTGTTTGAGGCCCTGCCATCAATCAAGAAAATCAAGAATGAGCAAGAGACCATTTTACACAAAAGTTCAAACACAGAGTGTTTATTTTAAAAAAATCTCAGCAGATTTTAATCCTCTCCACCTGAAAGTGTTGTCTTCTCTCTTGGGGTCAATGCTTGAGCATGATCATCTGTTAGTACTCCATCAGAGTGACCATTACTGATGCAAGGAGAGAATGTTACAGTGTGGGGTAGGTCTATTTATGGACATGGCCATCAATCAGTATTTTGCCATTAATTGTACATTCCTTCATCTTCAAAATGCTCATATTCCTGTGTTTCTTTGCAGATCATTATGTCATTATAAATCTCTACCAAGATGGTAAGGTACTTTCAACCAAGGAAACCAAGACATCAAGCGGCTATAACCCCGTGTGGAATGCACCATTTCTGTTTGACGTACCTTCAGGAGATATTGAAAGCCTACAGCTCTCTCTGGAGTTTATAGTCATGCAGGTAAGGTCGGGTCAAACTTTGCACTTTTGACTGACTCATCACTTCTAACAGAGTCATGCCCTGTACTAGGCCTTTACAGGCAGGGTAAGCTCCTGAGGCCAGGACACTCAAATCATTAAGGTACGGCTGTAAAGGAGAGATGGTGAGCCTGATATTGTGAAACCCCACAATCAAGAAGACCAAACCGATCTTGTGCAGTACCCCTAATGAGTGGAATGCTGCAATCAGCTCTCACTGTTTCTCCTTCTGAATATTACAGTCTGAGGAAGGGTAGTTAGAGTTGAGAACAGAGTTCAGAAACTTGTCTCGAGAACATGAATCTTGCTGAAATGGGAGACGGATTGCTGAAGCTTTTCCTCTTGCACTCTTCAGGTCAAATGCCAAATTTCTAATGGTCACAGCAATCTATATGAGAGGAGTAGAGGATGCTGATAGGTTGGCAAGTCTACTCTAATTGGCTGAGTGTTGTCGTAGAGAAACAAATAGGTAATTATAGGCTCTCCAAGCTCCTGGGTAATTCAAAAAGTTACAAGATTTGAACATAGTCCTTCTGTTTAAATGGTTATGAATGCATGCCTTTTTTTATATCCCCAGAGGGCAATTAAACATCAAACACATTGTTGTAGGCCTGGAGTCAGATGTTTTTATGACTAATGAGTCTGGAGTCACGTGTAGATCATACCAAGTAAGGATGGCAGTTTTTTGCCCCAAAAGACGTTAGTGAACAAGATGGTTTCGCTGACAATTGACTATGATTCTGTGGTCATCATTAAACATCATTAGAGGGGGCAGCACAGTGGCTCAGTGGTTAGCACTGCTGCTTCACTGTGCCAGGGACCCGGGTTTGATTCCACCCTCGGATGACTGTCTGTGTGGAGTTTGCACGTTCTCCCTGTGGGTTTCCTCTGGGTGCTCTGTTTGCCTTCCACAGTCCAAGGATGTGCAGGTTAGGGTGGATTGACCATGCTAAATCACCTCATAGTGTCCAGGGATGTGCAGGCTAGGTGAATTAGCTATTGGAAATATAGGGATAGAATAGGGTGAGGATCTGGGTGGGCTGTTCTTCAGAGGGTCAATATGGACTTGATGGGCTAAATGGCCTGCTTCCACAATTCTATGAACCCTTGACTCTAGATTTTTATTGAATTCAAATCATTGGGCATACTGGGATTCAAATCCTGTTTCCCAGAATTTTACCCTGGTCTCTGGGTGTCTAACCACTAGGTTATTGCACCCCCTGAATAAGCCATATTACAATCGCAATTGATTGTCTTCAGTGGGTTATTAGTGTAGCTATAGGCGCACTCAGGACTGTTTAGCAATTGCTGTGGAACCACAGCCAATAGTCTGGCATTCTGTTTGTTCAGATGAATGCAACACATCACTTTCCAGCAAGATTCAGACAGTGGAATCACATTACAATCCTGCAAGAATAAAGGTCCTAGATGGCAGGATGCAGATATTAACTAATGGAATAGAGTTATCTCGTAATTGTTGAATTAAAGATGTAGGCTTTTCATTAAGAATCTGAAGCAGCCAAGTAACTGATTCATAGCAGACACAGTTTGCTGGTTTCATATGGTCACTTTGCTGCTGAAACATCAGTCCATCAAGTATCAGATTGTTCGTGACAGAATATTATTGCCAGTTTCAAATAGATTACTCAGATGACAAAAATCTGCTTTTTGCTCACATAGAGTCGTAGAGTCAGAGAGATGTATAGCACAGAAATAGACCCTTTGGTCCAACTCATCCATGCCCACCAGATATCCTGAATAAATCTAGTCCCATTTGCCAGCATTTGGCCCATATCCCTCTAAACACTTCCTATTCATATACTCATCCAGATGCCTTTTCAATGTTGTAATTGTTCCTGCCTCCACCACTTCCTGTGGCAGCTCATTCCATGCATGCACCACCCTCTACGTGAGAAAGTTGCCCCTTAGGACCCTTCTAAATCTTTCCCCTCTTACCTTAAACCTATGCCCTCTAGTTTTGGACTCCCCTACCCCTGGACAAAAGACCTTGTCTATTTACCCTATCCATGCCCCTTCTGATTGTATAAACCTATCTAAGGTCACCCTTCAGCCTCTGATGCTCCAAGGAAAAAACCCCCGTCTATTCAGCCTCTCCCTATAGCTCAAACACTCCAACCCCAGCAACATCCTTGTAAATCCTTGCTGAAGCCTTTCAAGTTTAACAACATCTTTCCTATAGAAGGGAGACTGGAACAGAACACAGTATTCTATGGAGGCCCTCACCAATGTCCCGTACAGTCACAATATGACATCCCAGCTCCACTCAATGCACTGACCAATGAATGTTGATGAATATTGTTTTTGAATGTCCAGAGTCGCATTTACACCCGAAGTGGAGTTCTCGGCCGCGTGGTGATTGGGTCAAATGCTTCAGAGACGGGAAGAACGCATTGGAGGGAGATGTCGAGTCGGGGGCACGTGGAATCTGCCAGGTGGCATACCATACAGCCAGACACTTTCTAGACCACCCTCACACACACATCTGTTCTGTCACCCCTACCACTGTCCCTTAACTGTTCGATGAAATGTAATAATATGTACGAAAATCCCAATGTCCATTAGGAGCTTGGTGTTGCCGGAGCACAGTCAGTGGTTCCAGATATTACACGCTCATTTCAAGGCCGCCATTTTTTTCACAGATGGCCTGTTGCTAAGGGATACGTGATAAGTTGAGGCAGTTTCAGTGTTGATCTGAGAGATTCTCAGTCTGTAGTGTGAGCCCATTGACCTCGAGGTACACTTCGCCTGTCCTACACTGGGACAAAGGAAAACTGAGAACTGCTTAAAAAAACTTTCTTTAAAAAATAATGTGAAATATATATTCCTCCTGCAGGAAAGCCGCAACAACAACACAAACTGATTCAACTTATTAAAATATTTCAAGGAGCTTAATATGCAAGTGTTATCAACCCATATTGACACCAAATCACAACTGGAGATATCAAGCCAGATACAAGGAGATAGGTTTTTGGGAGCATCCTAAAGGGGAAAAAAAAACCAAGTTGGAGAGGTTTAGGGAGGGAAATTCTACAGTTTGGAATTTGTGTAGCTCAAGGCCTGGTGAGACAATAAAAAATGAGGGGTTTTGAAAGTAATGGAGGAGCATTATTATTGTCACATATACCTAGGTACAGTGAAAAGTTTTGTTTTGCCTGCGGTGCAGGCAGATCATAACATACAAAGATCAAAGGGTGATTGGACAGAGCAAGGAATACAAAGTTACAGTTGCACGAAAAGTAAGATCAGCATTAGCAGGAAAGAAGCTGTTCATGAACCTGGTGGTATGTGTGTTTAAGCTCTTGTATCTTCTGCCTGATGGAAGAGGGTAGAAGAGATTATAAGGAAAGGCCAGTGGTAAGGATGTCTGCAGAGAACCTGCAGAGGGATATAGACAAGTTATACAAGTGGCCGAAAACTAGGATGGAATATAACATAAGAAAATGTGAGGTTATGCACTTTGGCAGCAAGAATAGAAATGCTGTCTATTATTTAATTGAAGACAAACTGCAGTAAGTTGCAGCACAGAGGGATATTGGGAGTCCTTGTGCATAAATACCAAAAAGCCAGCATTGAAGTTCAAAGGGTAATAGGGCAGTTTGTATGTTGGCCTTAATTTCGAAAGGAATGGAATGTAAAATTAGGGAAGATCTGCTAACCCTATACAAAGCACTAGCTAGACCACACCTTTGTTTATCTCGGGGAAGACGTATTGGCATTAGAGGCAGTCGAGAGAAAATTCACGAGTTGGATCCTGGGTCTAGAGGGATTTTGTTATGACGAGAGGCTGAGCCTGCATTCACTAGAATTTAGAAAAATGAGAGCCAACCTTATTGAAATGTACAAGATTCTTATGGGACTTGCCAGGGTGGATGCAGAAAGATTAACTCCCCTGTGGGAGAGTCTAGAACTAGAACACATCATCTCAGGATGAGGGCTGCTCCCGTTAGGACAGAGATGAGGAGGAATTTCTTCTAGCCATGGATAGGGAATCTGTCCCATTCTTTATCACAGGGGGCTGTCGAGGCCATGTCTTTAAGTATGTTCGAGGCTGTGTTTGACAGATTTTTAGTCAGGAAGGGTATCGAGGGTTATAAGAAAAAGGCAGGAAAGTTGAATTGAGGATTATCAGATCAGGCATGGTCTCACTGGATGGTGGAGCAGACTCATCAGGCTGAATGGCCTGCTTCTGCTCCTACATCTTTAGGGTTCTGTTTTAGACTTGGAGGAGATTAGAGAGACAGTGTTGGGATTAGGAGTCAAAAAGCCACAGAGGAATTTGAAAACGAAAGTAATATGAGGAATGGTCGAGAACTTTGGGTCTGTACTTGATGGAGTTTAGAAGGATGGGGGGAGGTGGGAGGGAGACCTCATTGAACTTTACAGAGTAGAGAGAACTGGATAAATAGGACGTGGAGAAGATGTTTCCACTAGTAGGAAGGACTAGGATCTGAGGGCACAGCCTCAGAGTGAAGGGGTGACCCTCTAGAACTGAGATGAGGAGGAATTTCTTCAGCCAGAGGGTGGTGAATCTGTGGAACTTATTGCTACAGAAGGCTGTCCTGAGTATATTTAAGATAGAGATAGACTGGTTCTTGATTAGTAAGGGGATCAAGGGTTATAGGGAGAAAGCAGAGAATGGCGTTGAGAAACATATCAGCCATGATCGAATGGCAGAGCAGTCTTGATGGACTGAATGGCTTAATTTTGCTCCTATATCTTATGGTCTTACAGTATTGTGGAAAGAAACATTTTAGAATTGAGCTTTTACTGGAATGGAAGCCAATATAGCTAAGCAAGCACAAGGGCAATGGGTAAGCCTTGGAGGATTCACTCCAGTGAACGAACCCAATCTTATGTAGGGCAGAAGCTGAGTGACCAGATTGACCCCCACTTCTTGAGACTGTGTGCGATGCTTAACCTTAAACCCAACCCTATCGCGGTGAAAGTTTCCCCATTAAAACGTCAATGCTATCACAAAACAACGCAGACATGGCATTTCACAGGAGGGTTACCTTCCAACATCTGACACCAAACTTCATTATGTATCATATTTTTGAGTGCAGGAGCAATGTAGTCCTGTTTCAGTTGGTTAGAACACTGGTGAGACTGAATTCGGAGGGCTGTATGCAGTCCTGGTCCCCTCACCTAACGAAGGATGTGTTTTCTCTCGGAGGAGTGCAGCAGAGGTTCAGCAGACTGGTTCCTCGATTGTCCAACAAGGCCAGATTAAGGAGATTAGGTCTATATTTGAAAAATTGAGAGACAATCTGATAGAATCTTACAAGAAACTTAAAAGAGGCAGATAGTTTCCCCAGTTGTGGGATTTAGAACCTTGTGGCAGAGGTAAGGAGGAAATCCAATCTAGAATAAAAGACTAAGACTCAATGAGACATCGAGGACAGAGGCAAGGAAGAACCTCTTCACTCAGAGGATGGTGAATCTTTGGAATTCTCTACCCCTGAGAGACTGTGGAGACTCAATCATTGTATATGTTAAAGACGGAGATTGATAGATTTCTAGTTACTTGTGACTTTAAGGATGGATGTTCAGGCTCAAGGGGCTGAATGGCCTGGATTTGTTATGTCCAACTGACCTGAGGTAAACGTTCATCCTTACAATAAGAGACTGCACACACATTCAAGCATGGAATGTCATCGTTTCAAATATCATTTATCAACAAATGAGAACATTTTAAGAACTGCTGCCAGAGCAGGTGGACATTTCCATCTATCTCCTCATTTCGAACAGTGACATTTGGGTGGGTGTAAGTCCATCATTAACTGTAGCAGCTTTATAGCATCACAGTTAGCATCACAGCGGTGTGCCTTAGATGCAATGTTTCCTACACTGGGGTTTGTTTGTGTTTGGTGGGAAATTTTCCTCCTGCACTATTTCAAGTGAGATCATGAGCCCTTTTAATTGGTACCAGAAATTGAAAGATAAAATGTTTCACAAAGTCAGTAACTAGTGGAAACATAAATAAACTTAATACGGATATAGATACCAATACTAGCTTCAATTGCACTGTAAAGTTACCATATTCCCAGAGTTAGAAGTCACACGACACCAAGTTATAGTCCAACAGGTTTATTTGAAATCACAAGTTCTCAGAGCACCTGCTGATGAAGTCACTTCACCGAAGCAGCGCTCCGAAAGCTTGTGATTTCAAATAAACCTGTTGGACTGTAACCTGGGGTCGTGTGATTTCTGACCTTGTCCATCCCAGTCCAACACCGGCACCTCCACGTCATAGTCCCAAAGGGCTGCTCTCTCATTAGAGAGAGGTGGTTGTTGGTGAGGTCACCATGTCTCAGGTGAGGTTGAGAAAAAAAAACGTTCTTCACAGTCAGTGCAGGAATTGAACCCGTGCTGTTGCTATCACTGTGCATTGCAGACCAGCCATCTGACCATAGAGTCATTCAGCACAGAGACAGACCCTTCAGTCCGACCCATCCATGCTGACCTATTTTCCCTTCTCAACATGCTGTTGTTGATGGTCTCTAATGCCATTAAGTTAGTTCCACTGACATTTGTATCCATGCTGGCATTCTTGTTAATTTACTAGACGAAAATTCCATCATAAGCTGCCTCTGAGGGCCATTCACATTAAATATAGAGACCTCTTTTGACAAAGAGGCATATAAAGTGACCACATATGTACTGGACTGTACTGTACTGCATTGTCTGCAAGCATTTTGGGAGGAGTTGACTATATTACTTGAAAGAGTCACAGAGAGTTCCTCCTGTTCACAGCCTGTATCTTCCCCAAGTCTTTCAATACCAGTTAAAGTGTGCGTGAAGTGGCTGGTAACATATAAAGTTGATGACCTATTCCACGTTAGGCATAAACTACAGGCAATGTACTATCACAAGCTTTGCTAACGCTCAGAAATATCAACTGTGTTTTTGGATAGAAACTGATATCTAGGAGTCCTTCTATGTGAACCTGATTATCTCAATTAATAAAGTGCATGGCTGTAGTAGGTCTAAGTATGTATGTATATTTGGACTCTTGCTTATAGTTTGCTTTATATTAATATTTTGTGGAAACATTGTCACCCAAATAAATCTTGTGAATGCAAACTAATGCTTTACTCCTTTTGTTTGTCTGTAGAAGCGTCTGAGTAATGCACATCAAATTATGGGCTTTCCATTTTTTGTTCCCTCTTCACCAGGAGGTGCTGAGTCTCATTAGGAAACAGGTCCGTCTTCATTATCTGTGTTCGTGTGCAAGTGGGTACATAGAAATGAACATTAAACATAAGTTCATTGTTGCTTGAGCTGGAGATGTATGGGGTAGTGTAGTAGCAATGACACTAATGGACTAGTAATCCAGAACCCCAGGCTAATGCTCTGAGAAACATAGATTGGAATCTCTATCATGGCTGATGATGAAATTTAAATTCAATAAGAATCTGGAATTAAAAGCTAGCCTAATGCTGATCATGTGGAAACTCATATGGTTCACCGTTGCAGTTTAGGTAAGGAAAGCTACCTTTCACCCTGGTCTGGCCTACATATAACCCACCAGTAATGATAGCCAATAAGTTACTCAGTTAAAGGGCAATAAATGGTGACCTAGCCATGATTGAATTTTTTAAAAAAACTTCCTGCAGAAACTAGCTTCTATAAAGATGTGATAGCACTAGAGGGGGTACAGAGGAGGTTTATCAGGATGGAGAAACTAACATATAAGAAGTACCTAGATAGGTTTGGATTGTTTAGAGCAGAGAAGACTTGGTGTGGGGGGGTTCATGATTGTGGTGTATAAGTTTATGGGGGGGGGGGGAGCATGGACAGGGTGAATAGAGAGCAGATGATAGCAAAAACTGCAGATGCTGTAGTCAAAGTGAATACAGTATGGAGCTGGAGGAGCACTGCAGGTCAGGCAGCATCAGAGGAGCAGGAAAGCTGATGTTTCGGGTCCTGATGTTCCTGCTCCTCTGATGCTGCCTGACCTGCTGTGTTTCTCCAGCTCCACAGCGAATAGAGAGCAGCTGTTTCCTTTGCTTGAGGTGTCAATCATGAGGGGGCACAATTCTATGGTAAGGGGCAGGAGATTCAGAGGGAATTTTTGAAAAGTCGTTTTCACTCAGAGGGAGTTGGGAATCTAGATTGGAATGCATGGGAAGATAGTGGAGGCTGGAAACCTTACAACCTTTAAAAATATTTTGACAAGCACTTGAATATCACAGCATTCAAGGATATGGGATAAGTGCAGGAAATTGGGATTAGCACGCCTTTACTGGTAGTTCTGTCGGTGCAGAATCAATGGGCTGAACGGCCTTTTCTGCACTATATGACTCAATATAGGAAGCTAGGAGATAGTGGTATAGTGGATAATGTTAATGGGCTCATAATCCAGAGGCCAGGTTCAGGGAAGCAAATTCACTCCCCACCCCCGTAACAGCTGATGGAATTTAAAGAGAATGATTAAAGTCTGAAATTTAAAGTTAGTCTCCATAAGACTATTAGAAATAGGAACAATGGAGTAGGCTATTCAGCCCCTCGAGCCTGTTCCACCAAAGTCTCAGTAATGGTGACCATGATAACTATCATCAAAACCCTTGTGGTTCACTAATGCCTTTTTAGGAAAGGAAATCAGCCATCCTTACTGCGTCTGGCCTACATGTAACTCCAGATCCACAGAAATATGCTTGACTCTTAAATGCTCTCCAAAATGGCCGAGCAAGCCACTCACTCCAAGGACAATTAGGGATGGGTAACAAATGCTGGTCTTGCAAGTGACACCCACCTCCCATGTAAGAATAAGAGGAACAGAAAATGAGGGACAAGTTGATACTATGTTTTTTTTCCTTTTCTGGTGTTTATGTTAGCCTCCATTCCCTTCTTCTCCATCACCCAACCCCGTCCCCCCCCACACTCCTTAATATAGGGTTTTCACAATAATCAGTGCATTGATCAGTGTTTTGAATGCGGGTCAAAATGGATGCCCGACATTGAGCCAGCCTTGAGTTGTAGAACATTTTGGTTTAGGGAGAGACGGGATCCCTGGGGACTGGAATGCTTCGTTTCCCCCTCTGACCCTATTTTGATTTAACCCCTACCCTCCCCCCTTCACGTTCTTTTCACATAAGCATTGCCATTATCAGGCTTTGCTTGTTACTGGCTCCCATGGCCACGTTTTTCCAGGTGGTGGAAGTATTAAATAAAGTCTTTTGCATGTGGTGTCTTCACTGAGTTCCTGCACTTACTCACAAAAAACACGGGTGGTGTGGGGAAAAATAAGCACTGTTACTGTGCAGCAGTAGTGTGGAGAATATATATATATATACATTAAGAAAAATTCTGGGTTTCCCACAACTGGATGACAGATGACAGGGTGGCACGGTGGCTCAGTGATTAGCACTGCTGCCTCACAGCGCCAGGGTTCAACTCCACCCTCGGGCGACTGTCTGTGCACATTTTGCACATTCTTCCTGTGTCTGCGTGGGTTTCCTGAGTACTCCGGTTTCCTTCCACAGTCCAAAGA